CTTAGAATTTTTTAAACTTTTTGCAGTTTCCGTTCATTTACTTTGCAGAGGTTGCACATATTGAAATGAAACTTGATATACAGATTTATCAGCTCTATATCTACAGCGTCGTGCCAAAAGTATTCGCGGAAAATGGCGGTCGCGTTCTAAGACTTATTGCCCTTCGTACAGAAAAATGAATGTTATGACGTTAATACTGATTGAAATTTCATTTTGAGACGATCCCCAAAATCAGAATAAATTTCCGGATTTATGACGTAAAAAATCGTCTGCTAGAATAAATTGTTTCGTCATATTTGTGTGTAAACAAAGATGGGTCGAAAGTCTAAAGAATTGAGAAGAAAGAAGTGATTATAACATTAAAAATGATAGATTAAAGATTAGCAGACCTGTTTCGATTTCATATTTGTGTGTAAACAAAGAATAACACATAGTTTTTGTTATGTGTCTTAGTTTCACGCTTTTTATTGCAAAAGAGAGAGAGAGAGATCTGTATTGTTTTATAGACTTCGAGACTGAATCTGTTTGTTATCTCCATATCCTTCTTCAAACACATATATAAGCGATGCCAGGTTGCCTTAACGCTGTGGTATTATAAAATGACAAAGACCTTGTTGTTAAACCATGTTTTTGTAATCAGAAAAGCAGTTGTTCACTATTAATATATGTAAAATTGATGGAAAGTGAAAGCTTACTGGTAAATGCCAAATCTCACGGACAAATCTAATGAAAAATACTGAGAGACAACGATATGGGTAAACAGGTCTGGATTAGCGAGGTCGCAAGGATGTTAAAAGGCCTGAATCTACATGCAGGTCTGTTATCAAGACTTTTCAGGAACGGGGTAGCCTAATGAAGGCTAAGAAAACTGGCCGTTCGGAAAAAAAACTTGTCCTGTCGTGTCGGAGCCAGGTTACGTCGGTTGATGAAGCAGAGCAGAGGAAAGGTACTGAAAGATGTAACAATCGAATTTAATGATGGAAATGTTTCAAATCAAGTTAGTAGGAGGAGTGTGGAAATTATTTTGCATAAAAATAAGATTTATCGGAGAATTGTTAGAAAACGTATGGTGGTAAAAGAGGTCAAGCAGAAAAAGAGACTAACATGGTGTCTACAAAAACGGAGATTAGCTGAACACCAATACTGGAAAAAAAAATTATATTCAGTGACGAATCCCAAATCGTACTTGGCCAAAATAATAGGGTCTACATGTGGCGATCTGCTCATGAAGCTTATAGACCGGAATGCATGTTTGCAGAATGCAAACTCAAAGTTTCTGTTATGATCTGGGGGTGTATTACCTGGATAGGCCTGGAACTCTGTGTAAGGTAAACGGCAATATAAATGCTGAGAAATACATTTCAATATTAGATGAACAACTGCGACCTGTAATTGCCCGTCATTTCCTAGACAATTCCGACATATTCCAGGATGACAATGCCCCCGTGCATCGAGCCCGTGTCGTAGAGAGGTATAAACATGAAAACAACAACCGTGGAATGATTTGGCCAGCCCAATCACCGGATAACAATATTGAAAATTGTTGGCATCTGGTGAAGAGAAGTTTACAAAATCAGGCCGATGATATATCTAACCCAAATCAGCTGTTTTAAGCTATTCTCAATATTTGGTAGAATCTCTCTGTAGATTACATTAAAAAACTTTATCAGTCCCTACCTCGAAGAGTTCTTGCTTGCATTAGGTCCAATGGACACCTCACAAAGTAATAAAGGTATGTGTGTTTCTTTGTTGTGTTGAAAACGGGAAGTTTAGTATGCTAAGCGAGATAACTCTCAATTGACGTCCGCCATTTTCCTCGAATATTTTTGGCACGGCGCTGTAGGTCAAGTTTCATTTTGGGTACAATCACACCATTTTTGTCAGAGTAATGCCCCTTGGACTTAAAAAATTTCCATTATTTGCAGTTTCCGTTCATTTTCTTTGCAGAGGTTACACATATTGAAATGAATTTGGCATACAGATTTATCAGCTGAATATCTGGGTCAGGTTCTGTTTTGGGTACGATCGCACTATTAATAATAGAGAAATGCCCCTTGGACTCGGAAAAATTCCAATTTGGGGGAGGGGGCATAAGTGTTTCACAAACATCTGTTGTTTTCTTTACAAGTCCATCTTTATTGTCCTCTTCTTCTGCAACATTTAGATCTTTCTCTCTCATAAGAAAGTTTGGAGAAATAGGATGCTATTTATTGACCTGTTATATACTTATTTCTGGAAAACACATAACGGGTGCCATTCTTCAAACCTCGCATTTCGTCTGTTTATTATACCTCTATTGATAATACTCGAATTTGATTGGCTGGTAAGAAAACTTTAAAACACAACAATGACTCCAAATGGTACTGTTTACAGCAATAATGACCTAGGAATCATTGCACGTGGGATATAATGACCCGGTCATTATTATTAATGACCGCTAAATAATGACCTCTTAATCAAAAATTCCTTCTTGAGTGAAGTTAATGCATAAAATAATGATTTTTCGAGAAAAAACAACATGTTTTTAAATTTGTGCATGGTTTGTTTTGCATTACCACACAGAATACGGTAAAATTTTATCGTTAACTTAAACGGTTTATTCATTTCAAAATATCTTTACAATTCAGTTCAATTTAATGTAGAAGCGGCTCTTTAAAGAGTTGAATTCTGTGTTAGATTTTGACTGTGTAGAGGAAAAGAAATCGCTAGTTATAACAATGTACATGTATGTCGCTATCAACCAAATATTGTTTTAATTAGTAAATCATGATGCAAAAACTTACACGACTTGCAGACGTAAATGTAAACAACTTCACTACACGGAGTGTAGCGAATCCCGATCCCGACCAAAGAAAGAATTGATAACGGTTATCATGGTAATAGAGATTTAGACTTTTCAATATACATTGTGTGCTTGATTGTATACTGTTTAACGTCCCTCTCCAGAATATTTCACTGATATGGAGACGTCACCATTGCCGGTGAAGGTCTGCAAATTTAGGCCTATGATCGGCACTTACGGCCTTTGAGCAGGGAGGGATCTTTATCGTGCCACACCTGCTGTGACACGGGGCCTCGGTTTATATGGTCTTATCCGAACGCAGCTAGGATAAGGCTGTCCGTATAATATCAAAACTGTTCAGACTGTAGTAACTTCTCTGAACTACCTAGATATGACGTCATAATAGAATATGACGTCAAGTCACTGCATACTTGAGATGACGGGGAAAGTGTCATAATTTGTACATCGCATGTAGATTTATTTTGGGGCCTTGTTGTTAAATTCAAGTGTTAGGATTGTTTTTAAGCTCCAATGTGCTGTTACGAAGTTCAACATTTGAAATTTAGATATCCCAATTCCTTTCGCTTGTCTGATATGCACATATTCAAACAATAGAGAAAAATTATTCGTGAAACGCTCCCTTTACACGTCCGGAGACAGAGTTATAATTTAACAATCGTGTTTATATTGGACTGGCACAAGTGATAAACAAGCATAGATTGAAGATATTCTGTGTGAATCTACAAGAGAAGTATGTTCTCTGAATGAATTTTGCTGGGGGATTGTGTGTGATTCATCCATTTTTGTATAAATCGCAATAAAGAGTGGAAAATACCCCCTCTTATGTTGGTCAGTAGAATTTCTCGTAAAATATTTTCTTAACGAGTAAAAATTAAAGCTGCCCCCAGCACTTTCTATGTACCAGGGATCGCGATGAATTGATCTATGTAACAAACTTTGCACAATATTTTTGCTTTGCACTTGTGCAGAAGCGATCTCTGTGTAACGTTTAGGATTATCATAAATCTCCGTCACGTGATCAACACAGTCATGTGACATCGGGAAAATGCTTAATTATTATAACTGAGTATACTAATATCTCAAGTTGACTGTAATTTCAAACAAGAATTACATATTGAAGTTAAAATCGGGCTCAAAATAAAATGTTTATTTTTTAGGCATTTTAAGCCTTCGGACAGCCTTATCATAACTGCGAAGGACCGCCCCATTAAGTCGCCTTTTACGACAAGCAAGGGGGTACTGAGGACCTATTCTAACCCGGATCCCCACGGGGCAATATACATTGTATATCGGTATAATAAAACAATTGATTTTTACCCTTGTGAGTTCAACATTTACTAGGCGGCCTCTGTCAGGTCAGGTCACCTCGTGGGCCAGGTCGAGGGTCTTTATTTCACCATGTTGTCCTCAAAAGGGGTAATTAATTGTATAATGTGTCTACATTTCTTCCACTTTTTTAAAGTGTTAAATTTCTGTAACAAAATTTGTTTGCATTTTTGAGAAAACAACACTTTTCCTCTTTGTTTTCAGAGCCCATCTTTGATCCAACTGATTCATATTTAGTATAAACTGTTGACATCACCAGCATTTGAATCTTTAAAACCAAGCCTCTAACACATAACCAAGCCACTAACAGCTTTGTTTTCCCGGCACTTATACTGTGAAGTCTTTTCTTGCTTTACAGTGCAGTTAAGTTGTCGTATCTTTGCTATATACTCTTGATTTTCATTAATCTTTCTCTGTATGATACCGATATCTAAAAAGAAACGCATGGTTATGACTCAATATGTAACTTTAAAAAGCTTACTATTTTCGTTTTTTTAACCATCTCCTAATAAGTATATTTATAATGTTGCATCCATTATTGAAATTAATGGTTCCCACGGCCGAATTTAAATTGAAACCCCTTCATTAATAATAAAGAGAAAGAAAAAATATTGATTTCAAAGACGGCGCTACCTCTCATGATCAGCTGCTATTAAGGTGTGCTAAAGTTCATTCAAGATATTCTGACGACATAGTTCTTTTAGTTATATATGGTAGCTGGCATACATGGGAATATCCACAGTAAATAATAAAACGCACACTTTGCAAATGGCTTTCTTTGATCTGTTACTTTGGAGTGAATTCAACGAATGCTATTAATATCTAAGAAAATTCATAACGAGGAATTTTAAGTATTGAAAAGTAAAACGTGATATCCAGAAAATTTAAAGTGTGATCAACATGCTTGTATATGTCTTTTTTATGTTCCTTTTTACAAGCTTCTGTAAATTGGCAACTGCTCAACACTCACAAAGGTACCTAGAGAAAATGGAACATCGAAACAAGATGTATTCCACCACGCCTTTAACAGAGTACAATTCGCCGTCACTCAGTCATTGTGTGGCTTCATGTAGCAGCACTTGTGGATGTAATTGCATAGGATTTAACAATCACACAGAGAAATGTCACGTTTTGAAATCATGTGACTCAGTGGACATGACGATCACTGAAGCTTTTTGGAGCTATTACATTCCTACACCACAAGGTTAGCACTTTATTATATTATCGTTATAACTTCCTGTAAGTGAATGGCATTTGATTTTTTTACGACAAAAGAAAATAAATATTCACTTTTTACCTTGTAAATTAAAGAAACGAAACTTTTGCAGTCGGGCCTTAAAACATCAAAAATTCCATAGAAATGTAAAGGCATTTTGATAGCGATTTTGAGCTATTCAACTTCCAAATTTTCGAACACAAGAATCGGAAAAGCTTGTATGTGACTGATTGTTGTGAATTGTTATTTTTTTTTAATGTGTCAAATATATCACACAAACTTACTTGATTCAAAATAATGATGTGAGGTTTTCGTCTGCATGTACGAGGGATTATCAAAAAGTTCGTGGACTGAGGCTATAAAATTAGTACTATGTAGTCTGTGCTTTCAAAATTAATATGGAACATAAAAACAAAAAAAAATAAAGAAATGTTGAAAATGTTAGCCTGATACGTTCATTATTTGCCAAATTATTACAAAATATAAACTAACATATATGATCACCCGGCGCTATCGTCGTTTATTTTCATGACGTCCGATAACGTCATTGTTTTTTTCAATGTCCGCTTCTTCTACCTCGTACACTTTTTTGATGAGATTCCCTGGAGCTGAGTAAGGATTTAAACCCGCCTTGTTCATATGACTTTACAATGTCATGAACAGTGGCCTTCAATGAATATAATATTCCAAATGGATTAATACATTGGGAGAGATCCGCGCTTGATTATGCCGGCATATTTTGCTTTTTGGAGTTCAATATCTACAACGCATGATCAGCGTCTTTTTTTGACGTGATTGATTTTTCACACCTTGACTGCAAATCGACATTAACTGCGTATCCCTTTTTTCTCTGACTCTTTCTTGACATTAAAAAAGACAAGTACTCTGGATGCATATTATTTCTCTGTAGCCAGTTTCAACATATTTTAGGTCTATACTAGATTTTTCAGGGGCAAAACTTTATAGAATGTTGGAAACGGAAACCCCTCCCCCTTTTGGTGTCATTTTCAAGGCCTCATTTGTTTGGACATTCCGTGTAAAATATACGATAAAATATCATAGAACTTCCAGAATGAAGTGAAAATGTCATATTTTATGGAACAATTGTGTCCCGACACATACCTGAATTAACAGGATTTTTGGATGTCAAATGATCATATCAAAAGAGTTTTTCTCAGTTACACATAGGTCGTTAAAACGTCGTTTTCGAGGTTGCGCCGCCTGGACATACCATTGCTTACAAAAACATTACTAATTTATTAAAAAATAAAATTGATGATTTCTGGTTTATTCTTTAGATAGAAAAAATGATGCTAACTAGATATTCTAAAATTCATTGATGTGCCTAAAGCGGTTTTAATTTTATGACGCTAGTCCACGAACTTTTTGATAACCCCTCGTATGTTTATTTTTAAGGTTACCTGAGTACTCAGATGACCAATTGCTATTCGTTTTCGTCCGTTGTGTGTTAATATTTAAACATTTTCACCTTCTTCTATAAAACTTCTGAACCAATATCAACTTATTTTAGCATAGAGAATCAAGGTGATGGGGAGTAAAAATTGCGATTTTCATGGCCTTTGCCTCTCTTGGGCCTGAGGGATGAAAAACAAACACACTAAAATTGACACGTTTTTTCTTTACTCCTAGAAAACAAGCAGTCAAACTGTTCGCATTATTGTAACCCGCAATGAAACATCTACTAAAATTGTGAAAATTATGGCCTCAGGGTAAGGCGTTCCAGTGCTAGGGCGGGACTGGAATGATTATATAGTAAAAATACATAATTTCTTTGAAAATCTTCTGCTCTGCTTTTTGAATGGGTTTTATGCATAGTTATGACGAGGAATGTTTCCGCAACTAAAATTGTTAAAATGCATTAATTCTTTGAAAATCTTTTCTTTTGCTCCGAGTGTAAAGTAGATAAACTATGTACATAGTTATGATGAGGAAGGTTGCCTTGGTCAGGGGTTCTGATGTTAGCGGTGGACTCTATTGATTATATAGTGAAAATGCATTATATCTGTGGAAACCTTTCTCTGTCCCTTGGTATTAGGCCAAAGAGCTATGTACATAGTTAATAATATAATGCAGTAAGATGCATATTTCAATATTGTTAATTTCATGGCCTAAGTCATGGGTTCTGGTGTAAGGATGGGGTTCTATTGATTATACAGTGTAAATGATTAATTCTTTGAAAATATCCTTTGTTACTGGGTATTATGCTAATAATCTAAGTACAGAGCTATATGAGCAAGCTTAAGGGTGCTTCTTCCAGAATAATGAATTGTGAATTTCATGGCTGTTAGGCAGGATTATTTGGGCTCTACGGATTATATACTGAAAATGAATTAATATTATGAAATCTGCTTTTTGGCGGTATTAATCAAACATTGATGATGGATAAGGTTACCTTTTCCTAAATTGTGAAATGTGTGTTCCCATGATTAGGGTGTGGGATATACACTATTGACTTTATGGTGTAAATGCATATTTTCTTCGTCCTCTTCTTTGTCTCCGGGTATTTAGTAATCAAAGTAAACATGCCAAGTGTATAGTTATAATAAGCAATGTTGCCTCTTTCAAAATTGTGAATTTCATGTCCTCTCGTTTAAAATATAAACAAAGTTCATTTGTTGGAAAATTGTTAACGATATTCGGGTGACCTGTGAGGCCAGTAGGCCTCTTGTTCTTAAAAAAATACGGATGTCAATACTTTTAGAAAATACATAGAAAAGTGGTTGAACTGAGTTTGTATTAATCATAGAATTTCTGTATTGATCACGGATTTTTGTTGTTTAAATTTTGGAGAAATAATAGCTTCAAAAATAATTCTTCTTTGTGGTGCTTCGTATTGTATACGTCTTTTCATGGCGGCGTATAAATATTCTGGCAATGACAAAGATATACTTAAAACATTTTTAAAAAAATGCTAGTTACATGTGTAGATATTCAATTATGCGTGTTTCGTACTGAGATAATGAACTATGGAGATACTGACGAATAGTATTCTCAAAAATACATACTGTATACAGGGTTATTTTCGCCCCGTTATTTTCGCCCTTTTGCACTTGCAAACAGTTTTGCCCCGTTTTAAATTCGCCCTGTCACAGTTCTGTTTAAGAAATTCTACTGTGTAATTTGAATTCGCCCCGTTTTAAATTCGCCCAATCAAGAAGAGGGCGAAAGGGGCGAAAATAAAACGGGTGCGAAAATTCCCCTGTATACAGTAAACACAAAGATCAAATACACACCTCTGAAATATAAGGGATGGGACCAGGTGCCATGGAGGAGTGGGCATCCCCTGCTGACCAGTCGCACCCGCTGTGTGCTCATTTTCATGATGGGGGAAAAATCTGTAGACAACTCAGTGTGAAAATAATGACCTAACAAATAATTTGTATGAAAAACGTCGGTCAACATTTGAAATATTTCCACAGATTTGCCTGGTGACTGTAAAGCTATGTATGACAGAGGATGCAGAACGTCTGGTGTGTACACTATATACCCCTGGGAGAGGTACAGTCCCCTGTGTCGGTCTACCAGGGTCTTTTGTGATATGGAAAGGAATGAAGGAGGATGGACAGTAAGTTCTAAGAAAACTAAAGCAAGATTTTATTAACTGTGCCTAATTGCTCTGACAAAAAAATTATAAAGTTCATCAGGAACTTGAACATACGAAACATATTGTTTGTTTAAATAATTTCGTTTTAAATTTATCAAAACTTTGATTTTAAAAGGCTATCCAAAGGCGAAAAACTGGATCAGTTAACTTTACCCGGAATTGGAATGATTACAAGGTCGGGTTCGGAAACCCAGAAAAAGATTACTGGATTGGTAAGACACAAATTTATATTTTTACAAAAGATTTAATTGATTATCAGGATGGATTGAAAAATGTTAAGGTTTTGAATACTTCTGTCCGTCTGTACATCAGGAGGTACATGTGTGGATATGATATTTTGCACTTAGAAAGTTTTTGACTTTTGTTACTGATCTCTGACCTGTTTGTCTAAATAGTTAACTTTCCAGATAAGAGTAAATTTCCAACATTTAAAAGTTAAGTTCATGTGAAGGCTACTCTGCATGTTTTTCAGAAATCATTTGAAAACAATCTAGTGTCAGTCTTTTTAAATTTCTTTTAAAATAGAAAAATTATAAAACTTCTGTTATCTGGGTTATGAAAAGCATGACTTTGATAATAAGCATTAATGAGCGTAAGATACTGCTTTCAAAAAAATGTGTGCTAAATAAAATTGTGCTTTACAGTTACCCAATTAACTGAAATTCAAATGCTATGAAAGAAAATGAAATCAGAGAATCAATCATTTTACACTTCATGATCGGCGAATCATGATAGAAACAACGCAGATCAATGCCATAACAAATTTACTAGCTGCAAATTAAAGCTTTAATAATTTAAAGGGAGCAACAATGCGTATATTGCATGCTCTAGAAACATATTAATGATAGATTGAGTAGATAGCAATGGATACATTTCTTAATTTAAATGAATACATTTCTTATTTTTCAAAAAAAAATCAATACACTAAAGCAAATATTTCTTATAGGAAATGACGCAATTCATCAACTAACAAAAGATCGTCCCTCACTGTATATTTCCCTCACACTTAATAACGTATCTACAAAATACGAGCTCTATAACGAGTTCTCGGTATCGGACGAGAATGACAACTATAAGATCTTCCTCGCTGGTCCAGTCACAGGTACTCTGGGTAAGAACACGCACGTTATGTATTTAACGAATAGTATTCTAGGTCAAAAGTCCATAAAACAATAACAGAGCAAACAGGGACCTCCAAAACATCGGAGATGAGATCAGGGGTCATGGAGGAGTCAGCATCCCCTGCCGATCGGTCACACCCGCCGTAGGTATATTGCTGCCATAAGTAAGGGAAAAGATAGAAAAGTTAGACATCACGTTTACAATACAGCTTGGTTGTCCGATTACAATTAACGTCTTTTTCAAGCAAAATATCCAAATTTGAAACAGATATGTCAGACTCTGTGGTAACTTTTAACTCAAGCTCACCAGGATACAGTGTATATGGTATCGATATAAAAATGGGAATTACCATTGTTAATTAACAATATTTAAATTTCGAGTTGAAGATCACATCAAGTGTTTTTTAGCTCTACTAGTCAGAGACCAGAAGAGCTTCTGCGATAGTAATGCTTCCGGCGTCCGTGTCCGTGTCTGTTTATAAACAATTTTTCAAAATGCTACTCCTCTTACGGTTTTGGTCGGAGTTTACTAGGACTTTGAACACAAATAGACTACACTAAAATACATAATTCTCTGTATCGGTTTTTGGTTTCAATGAACAGTGTTGCAATGGTTACTAAAATAGAAATTTCTGTGAAATTCTTTCAAAATGCTACTCCTCCTACAGTTTTGGTCTGATTTCAATATAACTTGGCACACTAGAAGACTACACTAAGATACACAATTCTGTGTATCGGTTTTTTCAATTGAAAAAAACGGTGTTGCCGTGGTAACTAAAAATTGAAATTTCTGTGAAATACTTTTAAAATGGTACCCCTCCAACACTTTTGGTCTGATTTCAATATAACTTGTCACAGAAGTAGACTACACTAAGAAACACAATTCGGCATATCGTTTTTGATTTCGATGAACATTATTGCCTTGGTTACTAAAAATAGAATTTTCTGAAAATGCTACTCCAAATAGAGTTGTAAGTCTACTTCTAAGAATCACTGCAAAAGCCTCTATCTATATCAAGTTATGAACCTATATAAACAGTACTGATTTATGACACATAATCATTCCTACAATGACTTTAAAAACTAAAATAAATCAAAATAATATTTTTATGTTTAAACAGGTGACAGAATGTTATCTACGGATCGTCCGATCGCTGGAATGGCATTCTCAACCCTTGACAGAGATAACGATAATAAAGGCGGGGGGTATAGCTGTGCGGTGGCCATGGCGGGAGGCTGGTGGTTCAATGCCTGCCACCGGGCCTTCCTTAACGGGCCCTGGGCCCCGGGAAATTGGCGGGAACCCTGGTCACCAGGTTTGATGAATGGATTGTCTATCACCGAGACTAGAATGATGATTAGATCTCGTTAAATACAGGGCATGTTCTGTAGTTTTCTTAAATTATTCTTTTGTATTAATTGAAATAAAAATATATCGGTTCTGTAGTGTTTTAAATTATTTGTTTTTGTATTATGTAAAATAAAATGATACATTGGAGTAAAAAAAATGACGATGCAGTTAAATAACAAGTATTCCATCCGAACAATTTCTGCTGTTTAAAATTTCGTTTAATACACGGCATGGTTCTGTAGTTTTCTTAAATTATTATGTCTTTTGTATTAATTGAAATAAAAATATATCGATTCTGAAGTGTTTAAAATTATTTGTTTTTGTATTATGTAAAATAAAATGATACATTGGAGTAAAAAAAATGACGATGCAGTTAAATAACAAGTATTCCATCCGAACAATTTCTGCTGTTTGAAATTTCGTTAAATACACGGCATGGTTCTGTAGTTTTCTTAAATTATTATGTCTTTTGTATTAATTGAAATAAAAATATATCGGTTCTGTAGTGTTTTAAATTATTTTTTTTTTGTATTATGTAAAATAAAATGATAAATCGGAGTAAAAAATGACGATGCAGTTAAATAACAAGTATTCCATCCGAACAATTTCTGCTGTTTAAAATTTCGTTAAATACACGGCATGGTTCTGTAGTTTTCTTAAATTATTATGTCTTTTGTATTAATTGAAATAAAAATATATCGGTTCTGTAGTGTTTTAAATTATTTTTTTTTTGTATTATTATTTAAGTATTCCATCCGAACAATTTCTGCTGCATTGCTTAGGATTTAAAAGATACAATCGACTAAGTCTCCCTTTTTGTTGACGATGTATTACTTCTTAGTCAAGTATTTTCAAAGAAAGTGCCCCGCCACAGCATGATACACCCGTCAAATATTGTTCAATAATCATAAATTGGTAATTAGAGTGCAAGAAAATCAGGTAACCTTGATTACCAAGTTCAAGATTACCAGATTGACACAGATTTTAATGATCTAATTTCCATTCTTTATCATATGTATTGTACATACATCTCTAAGAGACTTATAATGTAGGCATTAATTATAATAAACATTCATATAATTCTAAACTGGCTGTGTTAGAGCTTAACAAATATTTATCTGCAGCTTTTTTATTGCATAGTTTATGATTGATTGAAAATGCTACAGTCTGAAAAAGATAAAAAATAAATTATTCTTTAGACTATAAAATTTTATAAGACATGACACTCTGCAATTTGTTGCAAATTTATAAAAATTAAAATGTAATTTTTGTTTTCAATGTACACATGTATAATCATGATAATTAGTTTTAATTATATCATACAATATTAATTTAGTTTTAATCATATACTGAATTTTAAAACATCAATTTGTTTTAATTACAATACAACAATTGAAAGATCTTTATCTGAACTAGCCATCAAGAACTCTTAAGCTTTAATAAACACAAGCAACTATGATGCCATTTCTTTTTGCCCAACTCCCAAGAGATAACAGATGCGTGGTCAGAGATGGTCTACCAGTTAGCTCTTGACAATAAACATTAATTTCTCTCTAATTTGACATGCAAATTTCTGCTATCAAAATTCTTCTTGACCAGTGCTTGAAAATTATGCCCATGGGACAAACTGCATTCCTCTTATAACATTAACATTTGTTATAGATTGCTGTAAAGTATATGATGAAAAAATAAGTTTTTTACTTGATTTAACATTGTTTAATAAGGATACAACTATATTTTTACATTTTTTAGGATTATGAAATTTAGAATTTAAAAGAATTAGTTTTTTTTTAAAATTCACTTAAATTGAAAGTCACAGTGACTTTGAAATAGGCCGCACACACCTTCTACTTAAGATGTATACTTTTGCCAAGTTTGATAGCTCTAGGTGTAACAGTTTTCTAGTTATGAGCCGGACAGGATTTTTCCATATTTGGCCATAGCATCTTTATTAAAGGTCAGGGCGACCTACTTTTTGTGCACGACACACCGTCTACCCAAGAAGTATCAGTTGACAAAGTTTGATAATCCTAGGCCTAATAGTATTGAAGTTATGAGCCGGACACAAATGGACAGACGGACGGACATGAAACCTATAACATAATACGTCCTGTCTTATGACCTTTACTCTCACATGGAGCGGATAATTAAGTAAGGGGTGTTAAGAAAGTTCGTTCCTTGATGAAATATTTTCAAAAAATTTCAAAATAGTGCTAAACTAAAGAGATGAATTTTCAAGTCTGACAAAATCATATGAGTGTTCTCTAGATTTATAGCAATTCATTTCTAGCAGAAAATTATAGGATTTTTCTTCTATATGAAAATATATATAACATCTTTAAAAGCACCCAAAGGATAGAAATGCAGGTCATTATATGAGTGAAAATAAAGGATAATTTACTTTTGTTTCTTCATAGCTTATCTTACATCAGACAAGATGATGAGCGTAGGTTTAAGATCGATAGATCACTTTTCAAAAGAATAGGTTTATCATTTTGAAATTTTTCACAGATTATATAATTTTTGCAAAGTATTTGAAAGGATTTTTGACCTGCTTGCTTAATATCAGTCACAAAATATGCGTCATCCCTAATTTTTCTTAACAGACATCAACTGTTTTGATACCTGCCCTCCCCTTATTGATTCATCAAAAGACAGTTAAAACCTTATCAGTTGCAAACACGGACTCTGTAAACACGAAATATCACAAATTGTAAATATCTTCATATCGTATTTCTTTTCGAAAATAAAAGAAAAATGTGGAATAAACTTTCTTAACACCCTTTAGTATGTTGATAAGGGTTTAATAAACACTCGTTTTTTTTTCATTTACATGTATGTACGATAACTACTATCTTAATCAGTCCATTAAAAGTAGACAAAATAGTATTTATTTGAATTCAATTAAGGTTCTGTTGAAGATTTGCTTGATCTTGTAATGAATAAATACTTCGGTGAACTACAGTAGCAATGAACAGTATAATTAATTATTAATGACACGAAGATGTGTA